GTCTCCCACACCGCGGTAGAGAGTTGACTTCTCCCCCGAGATCGACGCTGAGTAGGCAGTGCTGACGCTGAACGCATTAGCGGGCGTTGCTTGCAGCGATACCAGGAGCGAAACCTCTTGCGCTGAAACGCCCCTCCATCCGCTATATCTTCTCACGCCGATCTGCCGGCGGCGCCGATGGCTGAGACGACGGTCTAGCCTAGTGGGCGCGGGGCTGCCTATCAGGGGGTGGGCGATGGTGCGAGCAGCAATCACGGCGCTGATGCTCTTCAGCACGACCATGGCTGCGCGCTCAACCGATGCGCAGTCGCCGGACGTGGCCCCGCTTTCCAACCCGCTCGGCGCCGACGCCGGTCCCTCTCGGGCCCCGGTCGAGACTTCGACGGGCAATCTTCAGTACGAGTACGACTACCTGAGCGCCCAGAATATCCCGGGCGCTTTGGACAACGACCCGCTGGCCGATGATCTGCCGGCGTACTATTACTCGCCGCGTCCGTACCGTGACGACGAGGGCGCCGTCCGACCGATCGCCGACTACGGCCCGCCCGGATATCAGCCGCGCGAGCAACAAGAGGGCCCGGCCGTGCCGGAGTACGCCCGGCTTGCGCCGCCGACGCTAGTGACCGAAGACCAGCGGGACGACCTTGTTGTCCGCGGCATCTATCCCGGCTCGTTCTTGGCGCCGGGCACGAACACGTCGTTCCGCTTGCGTGGGTTCGTTCGCCTCGGCGCGCTGATGGACTTCGACCCGATCGGCAGCACCGACTCATTCGTCACCAACACGATCCCCGTCGCGCAGCGCGCGGGGCAGAACTTCAATATGAGCGGCCGCGCCAGCCGCATCGCTTTCGAGTCTTGGACCCCCACCGACTACGAGGACCTGACGGTTCACACGTTTGTCGAGGGGGACTTCTTCAACGGCGCGCCGCAAGCGGCCGGCGGTGGGGGCAATCCATTCCGACTGCGACACGCCTTCATCGATGTGGGCTACTTCCGTTTCGGGCAGCAGAACTCGGCGTTCATGGACGGAACGAACTGGCCGAGCCTCGTCGATTTCCAGGGGCCGAACAGCTGGGCCAATCAGCGGCAGCCCTCGGCCCGCGTCACGCTGCCAGTGTGCGACGATCTTTTTTGGGCGGGGGCGATCGAGCGGCCGTTCTCTGACATCACGTTCGATCCGGCGCTCGGCGCGGCGGTCCAAGACGTCCCCGACTTTACGACACATGTCCGCTACCAGCGCACACGGGGCCACGCCCAGCTCGGCGCCTTGGTTCGCGGCGTCGGCTATCGCCCTGCGGGCGAGGCGGTCACCCGTCAGACGGCCGCCGGTGTGAGCGGCAGCGTGGTGATGCACCCGTGGGCCGTCTTGATGGGCACCGACCCTGTCCACGACCCCGACCCCTCGGGGTGGACGCGTAGCCGGTTGTTGATGCAGGCGACCTGGGGCCCAGGCGTGGGACGTTATTTGAACGACCTGGCGGGGCAGGGTCTCGACGGCCAAGTCAACCCGCTCACCGGCGACATCGAGCTCGTCGAGGCGCTTGGCTGGAACTTCAGCTACGAGCATTGGTACAACGCCCGGTGGCTATCGAACTTCACCCTCGGCAAGGTGGACGTCGATAACGGCGCCTTCGCGGCCGGAGGCACGTACGCCAGCGCGCAGTACGTCGCGGCGAGCCTGTGGTGGATCCCGCTGCCGCGACTAGCGATCGCGACTGAATTGATGTGGGGTGAACGTCAAAACGAAGATGGCCAATCCGCCGACACCCAACGCCTACACGGCATGGTGCAGTACAATTTCTAGGCCGCCTGACGCTGCGCGCCTACGAGTCTTCAGCTCGGTCTACAACAGGCATAGGCCAGCAATGCCTCGGTGATAACGCCACTGCGGACGAAAGGCGGTTCAGGCATAATCGTTGCTGGCACTAACGGTCGCAGCACGCGGTGTTAGATGTCGTCGCAGACAGGTAGCGCAGCGCCAAGTCTTCGGCGCCGAGGATCTCGTTGCGGGAGAAGCTGTCGACAAGCTGGCCATCGACATAACACGATCGGCATGATAGGCGACGACAGGGTCATGCGAAACGATCGCCGCGGCGCGACCTGCCGAGGCGCCAACCTGCTGCAATAACTGACAAACCGATTCGGCGTTCTTGCGATCAAGATTTCCGGTGGGCTCGTCCGCCAATAAGATACGCGGCTCATTCACTAGTGCCCGAGCGATTGCGACCCGCTGTTGCTCTCCCCCGGAGAGTTGCGGCGGTCGCCGACCACTGTGCCCAGCCATGCCAACCTGCGACAGCTTGTCGCTCGCTAGCTCGCGCGCCCGCGCACGACTCTTTCCACTAAGCAGTAGTGGCAGCGCGACATTGTCGAGAGCCGTCAGCGTCGGCAACAGGTTGTAGGATTGGAAAACGATACTTATCTCACTGCACCGTAGCGCCGTCAGCTGGGCGTCGGATAGCGTGGCGAAGTCGCGATCCCCACAACGGATGACGCCGCCGTCCGCGCGGACTAGGCCGCCGAGTAGATGGAGTAAGGTCGTCTTCCCGGACCCAGAGGCTCCTATGACGGCGACGATCTCGCCCGCACGGAGAGTAATATCAACACCCGCCACGGCGCGCACGATGGCATCGCCACTGCCGTACGATTTGCGGATCCCTGAAGCGACAAGGACTGAACTGCGGGCGTTAGAGACCACTTCGACCTGCCTGAATTAACCTAACCTCGCCGCGCGGCGCTGATGATCGAAGCCGGCGTTGTCCTACCGACCCGATACGCCGCCCACAAGGCCGCGAGACTACAGACCATGGCGGTGGCGGCGACGCCTGGCCACAACCAAGACCAAGGAACGGTGTGCGTTGGCTGGATGCCGGCAAAATCAAGCCGGTAGCCCACGACGCTGGCCACCTCGAGCATCATCGCCGCCCCAACTCTACCCAGCAGCACCGATACAGGGATCGCCGCAGCGCCCAATAGCAACGCTTCGGCAATCGCTAAACGGGCTAAGCCCCAACGCGTCAAGCCGCAGCAGCGCAAGACGCCGAGTTCGCGCGACCGTGCTTGGAACGCACCCACAAGGGCGCCACTAACTGAGAGCAGGCTGAGGCCTAGCACCAGTAGCGGCTTCTGACCCATCCGCTTCACCGCGGCGCCGCCCCAATCGCCGCGCAACGACGCGCGGGTACGGTCGAGGCCGTCAACTTGCACGACTCGCTCTTCCACTACGACGACGGTCTCGCCGTCGGGTCGGTGCTCGACGGGTCGCTTTAAATCAATCGCCTCTGCGATCACCGATTCGATCGCGATACGATCGTCGCGGGATCGCGCGTACGCCTCGTCCTTCGAGAGATCGCTGCGGAATCTCGAAGGGCTTCCGTCGGCAATTGGCAGCGTGTCACCCAGCAGATAGTTCACATCCGCGACAGGGAAGTCACGCCTCACGGCATTGGCGTCAAGGATTAGCATGGCGGTGTGCTTACCGCCGTGAAGCCGGACCTTGTTCAGTTTTGTCGCCATCCGCCAACCGCGTAGTTCCACGATCCCGGCGACTCGATACGTGCGTTCCGCGCGTCCGTCGATCGAAGGAGTCGCGACGGACAGACGATCGCCGACTCTCGTGCGGTGGCTAGCCGCGTACTAAGCACTGACGAGACACATGTCGCCTCGCTTGAGCCCGGCTTCCGCGGACTCGCGATCACCATTGATAAACTCAATCGGTAAGCTGCCGGGCTCTCTCCCTAGCGAACGCTCGACATCGATCCCCATGACTAGCGTCGGGATCGCTATGTCAGCCTTATTGAGGTGCGTGTCTACAAGCGTAAGCGGGTGATACTCCTCGAACTCGGGCTTGGATAACAACTCCATGGCCTCGTCCCTATCAAGGCCGTACGGGTGGATCGAAACGAGCCAGCGCGGAATGGCGGGGTCGATGATGAACGACTCCAGCATCGATGCGCCCCAGCAGAGCATCCAAATGAATCCGCCCAGTCCGATCGCGATCGCGATCACTGCCCCGGCGCTGCGGGCGCCGTCGGCGGCAACATGATCGGCAAGCACCAGCGACTCGGTTCTCGTAAGAACTCCGACGGGACGCACCAAGAGTCGGCTCGTCCAGCGGATGATTAGCGGTGTGGCGAGCAGTGCCGTCAGTGCGAGGCAAGGAACGCCGAACCATGAGAGGAGCTCAGCCCTCGTGAAGGACTGGGCAGGCGTGGCTGAGATCATCGCAGCAGCTAGCGCGGCAATGGAGACCCCGGCGATCGCCGAACGATTCGCGAACCGTGCAACCCTCTCGGGATCGTCTTGTTCCACGTCAAAATCACCGGGCAGCCTTCTCGTTGCGGCGATCGCCGGCCAAGCAGCTCCGGCCAGCACTCCTAGCAATGTCACACCGGCGGCCATGGCGATGCTCGCCAGATCGGGCATTGAAGGGCCCCGCAGCATCGGGAGTAAAGCCGCCAATCCAGCCATCACCGCCCACACCAAAAGGACGGCTCCCAGCACGCTAATGGCGGCCATGGTGATGGCCTCTGCGAGAACCAGCATTGCGAGTATCTTTCGATTCGCCCCCAGGCATCGCAACAAGCTCGACTGTGCGGCGCGTTCGCGGACAGCGTTTCCCTGTACGCTCAAGGCGATACACACGACACAGGCGCCGGCGAGAAGTACAGCTGATTGCACGGCAAGCCGGGCCGATTCCGCCGCGGGGCCGCTCAGGGCGGCTTCTTGAAGCGACGTGCTGTCCCAGAATTCGAGCCGACCGGCGCGGTCTCACAACCGCGGTCGCCAATCGGCTAGGAAAGCGACCTTGTCTTCAGCATGTTGCAGGTAGACCCGTGCATCGGAAGGTGGCAACGACCGTCCGGCTAACTTGAGGGCGGCCGAAGCGCTGATCTGCCGCGCCGTCAAGCGAATCCCAGGCGGCGACGCGACCATCGCCATGTCGGTCGGCAAGATTCCTACAACCCGCGCGGCATGAACGCCGGTGTCGCTTTCCAAGAGC